GCAAAACGGACTCTTGGATTCCCCGAACAAAACCCCGACCATTCTTCAGGAAAACCATCCAACCCTTTCCTAACTGACGCAAACATCGAGCGTATAGTCAACACTCTATGCCGTATGCGAGGCGCTGCATTAAAGCTAGGACAGATGCTTAGTCTACAAGGTTCTCCTTCATTTTAGTTGTTTTTTATTTGCATTTGTTATTGATATCGCTTCATAGCTGGCTCTTGTAAGATGCTCATATTAAAAGAATGCAGAATGTAAGGTTTAAAGTTGTTACTGTTGCCTACCTAGAAAGAACTGACCCTGCACCTTCATACATATTCCAGTCTTTTATCTTAATTATATGAAGGAGTAATCTGTCTATTAGCCCAGTTATTGGTCAAAAGGCATGTTTGCAGGTGACGGTGAGTGGCCTTCAGAGATTACTGTAAAATAAGCGAGGTTTCTAGTCTGATCAGTAAGCTGTAGCAGATTTGCAGTGACCGTTTTACGAGGAGTGTGAAGGGTTGGAGTCTGACGTCTGGCTTCCCTATGAAGCGTCGCAGAGGCCAACAACGGCTATGCGGACAAGTTATTCTGCCTCCGCTACCTTGGTAGCCAGATGTGCATCCCAGACGTAAGTCGAGGACTATGTATCATTACTCGCAACAAGCCCGCCATTATCCATCTTACGTAATTTACGCAATTACGACTTTCCATTCATGTCTTCCTGTCCACGTCAAATGACACGTCCGGACCTCTGCCATTGGGCCGGGTGGTATGCCAGCCGTCTTATAGGAGGGAGGAACTATGTATTACTTGCATTACCATGAGTGTGAGGTTTGCACGCTTGCCGTCCGACCTGGACCTCAGGGACTCGCGCCCAGTAATCGCGCGCTCCGCACTGGGTGGCCAGTGTGAACTCTACAGTAAAACATCCCGGAATCTTCAGCACACCCCAGCTAATAAGACCACGAGTGCCTGTATAGTATTTTGGAGACGATTCAGTCCTTCTACCTCGGTGACCAGAGGCAACCTCGGTGTGTGGATAGCGTCAAGACATGACGCACCGATGGATTGAGTATTTTATCCGATACAGTCAGTTCGGTCCGCCTTGGCTGTACCCCAATTTGAAGGGTACCGTTACATCGATATTCAAAAAAGGCAACAGATCACTGTGTGAGAACTGCCTTTGTATAAGTCTTCTCGACATTTCCAAAATTATTCAGTCGTACCTTCCAATCATTTCCGCTTTTACCGATTAGCGGACGGGAAAGGATCATTGCGATTCTCGTCCGGAGCTAGGATGTGTTGGTCAATACTTGCCCTCATCGAATCCTGTCACATACCAGCAACCCACCCGCTGACTTTTCCGCCCTTGATTCCTCCGTTTAACTTAACTCTGTTCTATTTTGCTGAATTATGACGACAGAACAAGGACCAAAGTCCGTGTAAGCGGTGAAAAAATTGGCCCTCTTAATGCCGCCGTTGGTGTCTACCAAGTCTGCGTTCTCTCACCAACTCTTTTAAACTACGTGACGGACTGAGTTTTGCGACATGTGCAGGCAAACCACACTGGTGTTGCAGTAGACTACGCCGATGTCATCGCAGTGCTGGAGAACTCCTTTGCAGAAGTGCGATGTGTCCTCGTCAATACCAGGCCGGTCATGGTTGGCAGTGAAGTTTATGGTTGGTTGTCATTTTCTGATATCTTCGACCGAAATCCCTTACGACGAGAGTAAGCATGGAGTCGGACGTTGGGTCAACTAGTCACGCGTGACTGTCACACGACTCTGTCGATACTCCATTGACGAGCCTGTGGGTATACGACGCCTCTTTCGAGACAATCCTTCTCTAAGAATGTGTCGTATATGTCGTGCAATTAAAAGATACCACCCACTCTGGTGTTTTCAGTAGGTGGTTCGTACAACTCGTTCGCCAAATGTCTTTCTGATCACCTCTCGGACGAAAGACTGCAAAGTCCTTCACGAACAAACCCAGTCAACTGCATATTCCTCACTGGCAGACTGAAATGGTCCGGACATGTGCTATGTTAATTTGACGGTAGAGTCCTACAGGATGCTGCCTCGCCGAAACCCTTCCCTGGATGCCGATCTTCATTTTGCCAAATTGACATGCTACCTGCCTCAACTTCACCGCTGACCGAGTACAGTGACGGACGATCATCCGTATTGTGGCGAATCTGTAACGTGGAGCCGACTGGGTCCGTTGTGATGGACCCCAATACTAGTGCAATTAAAGTGCTAAACCAGTGTCAATTTTTAGGCATAAACGACTTAACGTAAACCTTCCGGGTACGGCAAATAATTTTAGGAATACTAGCTCGGATCTTCGTTTAACTCGACAACCAAGTAAGAATTAGGTTCTCGCATTCGGTAAGAAAGCCTAATTATTTCGTCTACTACCTTATTAAAACGAGCTTTGAATGCTTTAAATCCAACCCCGAAAGGGTCCCGAGTACCGGTTGTTTGCTTTTTATAACGATAGTAATTTGGTTCAGTTCATTAAAGGAACAGTCGTGAGCTTCTGAGGACCCTGTATAAACTTATTTTTTGGAAAGCATTCCAAGATATCGCTGTCAAATTATGCTGAAAAGTTTTTACTTTATCTGAATCTTTTAGAGCTGAAAGTCCCAGTTGCAATACCTGTTCCCCATCACACTGCTTCCCATCTTTTAGATAATTCCTTGGTCAGCCCCAAAGTCCAAAAAATGTTCGAAAGAGTACGCCAATCGGCCGACTTCATGCCGACACGTCAAATGTACTCAGTAATCAATGAGGAACTCGGCCCAGACTGGAAAACTAAGGTCGCCAGTTTCGAAGAGAAACCGTTCGCCGCTGCTAGTATCGGTCAAGTTCATCGGGCAGTGATGCACGATGGGAGGTAAGCTTAAACTCTCAGTGTTCCTCACACACGGCTTTTCGATTCGTCTTCTTTACCTGTCCTGTGAAGAATACGTATTTTCCTCTCGTTTGTCCGATAGAATGCTTTAGGCAAAATATGTGGCCAGACGAAAATACAAATAATCTGTCTTCATTCCACTTTGAGGTTCAATCCTTTCTTTCTGTCAATCCTTCCGTCAGCTACGGATTAACTGCGTTTTATTTAGCTTCTGAGCAGCTTCCGTTCCTGTGAAAATTTTCCCGCAATCGAAAATATTTAACTCTCATCCACCACGAAATATTAGGGGAAATGCAGTGACATGATGAAATTCTTCATATGAACTTAACAGCAAGTGTTCTATTTGAGTTTGCACATTCCCCATCCCTTTCTGAAGCTTATACAGCACTATTATTTCATTTGAACAGCATTACTGCTCGTGCACCATTGAGAAAATTGTCATTTCAAGGCATGAACAAACTTCAACTTGGAGATGATTCTTCATTTAACGCGTTTTTTTCTAAAGGCAAGCTGGCATTTGTACGCCCCACAAATTACTTCACCCACCATGGAGCACTGTCCTTTTTGCTGTGGATTTTCTCGGCTCTTACAAGGACATACCAAAATTGTGTATGATTTTCATTGAAGACATTGACAATAAGGGTGCTTCTTAATAACGTTATGTGGCAACTCATGTCTTCTCGGGGATTGCTACCCCAAAGCACGGAACACTTTTCGGTTGCAAAACGGCTTCTGAGGGTTCGTACTTAAGGGAGCGTCAATGCTCAGTGGTGTCAGGACCGTACTTGCATGTTAACGTAGTAGCCATTTAAAAATCCTCAGACTAAAGAGGCATTTTTAAACACAGTTGTTTAATACTTCTCCATACAGGGTCTGGGGAAGAGGTTATTTCGTACAAACGTACCATGCAAAACCGAATTTTCCCAATATGTCTAACCAGTTGTACCTATCATTGTATGACTGCCAGAAACGAAGTAGTAGATGCCAATTCGGAGTAAGCTTGTCTTGGTTAAAAAAAAAACATCTACCAAGAAGCCGGCGCGCCATGGTGTACCAAATGACTTGGAACTCGGTTCCATCCTAATTGCTGTTTCAACCACGCTTGTAGGAAGACTTGGTGTACCCTGTAGCAGTCCTGACACAGCATCACAGTTTGGGTATTCTGCCGATGAGCGTACATGAGGTTCGATGCGATTAATTTACGGTTAATCAAATTAGACTTTCCCACATCAGGTTTTTGATTCCATGCCTTAACTTGCCCTGTGTGTCGGCAGGGTGTTTGTTGTTACCGTTTTTTTTACTATTAATATTTCTTTGTACATTGTCCTCCGCAGCACTGTGGCGATGAAGATTCAGTACCCCGGTATCAGCAAAAGCATTGAAACAGATGTGGCCAACATTATGCTGGTTCTGAAGCGTTTTGATGTTCTCCCACGGGGCATGTTTGCTGAGGAGGCAATCAAGGTGGCAAAGAGGGAGTTGCACTGGGAATGTGACTACATTCGCGAGGCCGCCTATGCTGTACGGTTTAAAAAGCT